GCCCGATTTACACCTCTATTTCAGACAATTAGATCAATAGGTCCAGAATGATGTCCCACAAAGCGCACCCCACATACACATCTCAGCGTGCATTGCGAACATCTCCGGTGCTTGTCATGGGGAGATATTCCCAATACACGGCTGAGATGTGTGGTGGGGCGCTTGTGGGACTCACTCTATGGGGTAACCCATGGGAATTCCCACACCACACTCTACAAGGTGTTGTGCACTTTGGTGTTCTGCCCTTATAAATGCAACATTAGTGGTGTTTCTGTTTGAACAATTTAAGGGGCATTCTTTTTTTGGATTTTGAGAGGGGGAAAGTTGGTCAATCAGATTTTGGTTCCCATTGATCAAGAACTCCATATTCTATTTTTAGATTTATGTGGGGGTCAGGGAAAGTTTGTTTTCTTGGGTATCATTTACCCGGTGGGTAAATAACTTTCCCACCTAGGAGAAAAGTTGCCAACACTTGAATGGGACAAAAATGCCCCTWTTAATAATAGATTTKTATGRCTAAAATAGTCATTGTCTTATTTATCTGATAAATAAAAGAACATAGAAAAATGCACTTACCTGGGTAAGTGCTTCTCAAAAAAAATTTACCCAAGTAATTGCATTTACCCGAGTAAGTAACTTATCGAAAAACAAATARGGCTTAAATATTACCTCTATATACCAATATAGTAAGTGCATTAAAGAAGATTCATTATCGTTATTGGCTGTRTTTAGATGCTGATGGAAGAGTGAGACGCTTTCATGGGATGAAGACAGAATGGGGTTTTGATCAATTYCTGCAGCTCGCAGTCTTCCATGACTCTTCATTTGGATATCTTGTAGACGATACATGTGTATTTGGAGTAGAGATTTTTGTCATGRAAAATACAGGAAAAGGCGAATGTTTGTCTCTGATAAAACAGAYCAGCCCATCTACATATACCTGGAAGATCGAACACTTCTCACAATTAGTCAATGAAATTTATTATTCAGAAGAATTTGTGGCTGAAGACTACAAATGGTATAAATTAATGTTGGACATGAGACATTACATTACKTGCATGAATCCCTATTTGAACCTTACACTGCTCTCAGCATTCTTATATTGGAATTTTTTCAGCCCAAATCATAAATGGGTCTAGAGTTTTCTGCTTGTTGTTGTATGTTAATTTATGTTTAGGCCTTTAGGGYTGCACCTTGGGCAGGCCTGACCTGGGACCAGTTTAATCCAAAATTTTATATGGGCTGAGCTTTTTATTCTCGGACCGGTCTTATGCTAAAAACCTCAGAACTTTTGGGCTGGGCCTGGACCTCATCCTTGAATAGTCCAACAGAGCCCATCCATGTTACACCCATATTAGGGATGCAAGTTTGAAATTTGGACCTCGGATTCCCCAGTTAAAAGAATTTTAATTATATTGAGCTTAAGGGTCCATTGAAATTTAACAAATTCCAAACCCAATCCAACCCAAGTTGCACCCTTAACCCACATGGTTAATTGGCACCTTACGATTTTGCCTTCATTCATAGCGTATATATATATAATTTTTTTCTGTTTCTTTTCGCAGGAAAATTCTGGTTTATCCAAAGGGTTATGGGCTCAGGAAGGACAATAGTCTTTCAGCATTTATGTCCTTGACAAATTCAGCAACCCTTTCCTCTTCCAAGGAAGTGTATGTGAAATGCAAATTACGGGTGGTGAACCAGCTTGATGGAAAACACATTGAAAAAGGTGAATTCATCATTTCTTTTATTATTTAGTTTTATCTTCCTTTCACCGTTTAGATAAATATAATTTTTATGTATAATATATATGTATTACTTATTTTATATTTAATTTAGTAAATTCATAATAATTGTATATAAATTTATTGAGATTCTAATTAAGTCTGAACCTAAGTAACAAGTCAATTATTTCCTATCAAATTAAATTTGGATACAACCCCTATTCAAATTTTGTTCAGATCAAGGCTCTAAATATTGATACAAGTTGATACATCCCACAATACAAAACTAACTTAACCTATTATCCCAATAGAATAATTTTCAGATTAAACTTACTCCCTTTTCTAGCACCGATTTATGTGTAAGCTCAATTATTAATTGGAAACAAGTTTTTTTATTCAAACTGCACATTAAACTTTTGATATATGCATAGCAGTCTGTCACAATCCAAGAAAAAAGGATACAAGAATGATCAAACAGGGATTGCACCCCTCTTAGCAGCAAGGCCTGTATTGTTGGGTGCTTTTATTTTTATCCTTTTAGTTTTTTTTTTTTTTTCAAATTAAACCGGTTTAGGGAGGTCGGTATAAGGCCTGTCTACCCCATGAAACAAGTCGATTAAGCCCTGAAACAAGTCGATTAAGGCCGGTACATTGTGAAATTTTGATACTTGGTTCAGATATTATAAATAAATATTTATATATAAAGCATATTTATTAATTTATAATATATAAAATATATAAAATATATAGAAATGTATGTATATCGGTCGATTCGCAATTTTTTATATTGATTAACTGAAACCGAATTGATACCTTTAATTTTTTAAAAATTTCGAACCGAAACCAAATCGATCGACTTAATTAACCGATTTTTTAATTCGGTTTCAGTTGATTTTTTGGTCCATTCAGTTTTTCGGTTTTTTTGGCTCACCCCTAACCCTAGTGTTTCTTTCATCCATTTTAGCATCATCATTACATGGATGTAACACTCACTCCTGTCTCCTGTGGGTTTTATTCTTCCCAAATCTTTGCAGCTCTTAATCTTCAGAAATATGTTTCCACAACTAGTAACTGGGGTTGGTTTGATGTGGTTTCTCTTAACGATCTCAAAGACCCAAAAAAGGGTTTTCTAGTGAATGATACTTGCATCCTCGAGGCAGAGGTTACTATTATTGCAGTAGTTGATAAAATGTCGTGAATTGATTTCATGTATAGCTTGAGCTTCACAAATCATGGATATCTGTAAAACCATCTGKGGTAAGCATGTTAAAGTTGTATAATGATCAAATGATGTATAATTGGCGACACAATTCAAAATCCACTCTGTTTCAGCAAAATCCCTGGTTCATCTTGTTCCTCAACGACTAAACATATTCCTAATAAAAAAAATTCTTCTTTTGTTCTTATGTAAAAATATATCAAATGCAAATGCCAATCTTGCCAATGCTTTCAATTGGATTGGTTTTAGCCAATCCGATCTAGTSCAGTATGAGTTTATTATAAATGGATCAGGTCCAATTCAATCCAATGAATACTATGGACCATTTTGGACCAGTCTAAGGTTATGTTTGGGAGTGCTTAAAAATAAGTGCTTATTTGGACTGTGAGAAAATGAAAGACAAAAGAGTCACAAGCTTATTGGAGAAAAAGACCACCAAATGTCCAATATAAAATAAGTGTTTATTTAAAAAAAAATAAGCACTTAAAAAAGCTAGGTGCCAAATATAAATAAATGCTTATTTGAATAAGCACTCTCAAACATGGCCTCATTCAATGTCTATACTGTTCAATCTGTTCAAATTGGTTTTAATTTAGATTGGTTCTAACCCAATACTGGTCCACTAACACCTAATTTCTTATATTTTATCAAGAGACCGAATATTTGTTCAATTTGACCTAATCCAATATAAAACCATTACAGATGGACCAAGCCCAATCCAATCCAATAAATACTTTTGGATCATTAAGTCTGGACTGATCCAATTCAATATGTTTTATTGATTCATTCAATCCTTCCAAATTGATTTTGATTTGGAGTTTGGACGGATCCAACCCAAAATTAGTCCATTAACCTTACATGCATGCGAAGTGATGAGAGGTTGASTGGTTGTAGGGCTTATACACTTGATGACTGGCATGGCGTGTTATTATTGTTAAAAGTTAAAACAGCCCCTACTCTTGACTCCTTAAAATCCAATGTTGGATTCTTAATAGGAATACACTTTTTTTCCTTTTTTTTTTTGAAAAAGATAGTAGTCAATTCATTTCAATAAACGTACGGCCTATGCAAAATCAGAAACAAGACACCCAATACACGTACGGCCTTTGCAAAATGCTTAGGCTCAGTTGAAAGGAGTATAAATACAAATGTGTAGGGTGCAAAACCTTGTAGTTTGTCTTGTTTTTATTTTATGTATTTGCACTGTACATATGTACCTTTTCCAAATTGAGCCTAGGCATGTAAAGTACAAATACGTAAAGTACAAAACCTAGTATTATATACAGTTTTGTATTGTACATATTTGTTTTTGTACTATTTCCAAATTGAGCCTTAGCAACAATACAAATACAAATATGGAAGGAGTACAAATACAAATATGTACAAAATAATAAACTTTGAAAAGAGTACAATTGTACAAAATAATACACTTTGAAAAGAGTACAACTGTACAAAATAATACAAAATGCAAATATTTAGAGTACAACTGTACAAATACAAATATACATTGATGGAGCGTGATCTGGGTGCTCCTAGCTAGAAGGCAGCTTGGACGTCGATGCTCAATTGGTCAATCGAATTGCAAGGGAAAGTATCAGAGAACCCAGGGTGGCTAACCCGGTGAGGTCACTCTGATGCTTAAGTTATTACTTAGTGATGAATTGCGAGCTGGAAATCAGTAATGTTGAGAGCTAGAATGCACTTAATCATGCGTACTTTGTGTCACTAAGGTAGATGCCCTTATATAGGCATTGTTTGGTGCGGGCTTCACGCATCGTGTCCGAGGTCTCCGAGAAGACGTGCCTAACCGGCCCAATGTCCTCGGAGGTAGCCGTGCACGTAGACCAGTCTTTGCGTCTTGTTCGGTTTCCTAAAGAACATTCGTTAAAGGGCCAACTTCCGAGAAACTCAGGAGTATCGGGATATGCATGCCAAATTGGTTGGTGAGCATGTTTCGTAAGTCGCCACCTGGACCTCAATCAGGTCGGAAAGCCCTCAAGGGAGGTTGCTCCTCATCAAGGCCACTTCGACTGTACTAATGAGGTGCCACAGGTCGGCCTTGGATGAGGTGCTACAAGCCGCTTAGAGTTGTGGACAATCCCCAGGTCGGCGGCAAAGGCAGGTTGCTAGGTCGGGGCAAAGATTAATCGCGATCTGGGACTCCAAATTGTCGCTTAGGTGGTGTCTGTGTGTCATCAAGTTGTTCCATGATGCCATGTGTCATGATGTCATTGGAGGCCTAAATCCACCCTCATCAATTGCCCCCCACTCCCGAGCTGAGGGCAGCTCGGCGAAGGGAGTAGATTGTTCCTCTTGGCCTAGAGTGACTGATTTGATAAGCCCGTAGTCGTATGCACCGGTCCGATTTGCTCCTCAGGTCAAAAGGGCCCGAGTGTTTGAATGCAGCCTTATGCAGGACCTCGTCATCTTGGTTATCGAGGCATGAGAGTGAATTCATCCGCTCGAGGACATCTACCTTATTAGGGATGCAACCATCAAGGGGTTCTACAATCCGACTAAGTACCTCAAGAGCGAAATTCGTCATGCCGTCCTCAAGAGGGGGTTCCATCTACACGACTGTCTTGTTAGGTCGTTCCACTTACGTAGACTTCGACGCAATGTCCCTTGAGCCGATTCTCGAAAGAGTAGCCAACGAGGTCAATGAGGAGCCTAAAACCGAGGTGGAGCTCGGTTGTGAAGAGATCAACCATTTTGCATATCTGCCATGGTTCTGAAAGTGAACTAGTCTTCCCTTCCTTCATTTCTTTTTTCTCTCTCTCTCTTTTTCTCTTCTCTCCTTTTTTTTTCAGATCGGTGATGAGATGTCGATGTCCTTTGAGGTCGATTTTAAAGTAGTGATGGAAATACTGCCGAGCTAGATAAACGGGGGCCGACCTTCTGAGGTCGGTGTTCCTACTGCCATCGTACTTCGAGGTTGGCTTGATGGTGCCCTCACTAAAAAGCGATATGGCTTTCCCTTAGAAAGTGATTTAATTAGGTCGCTAGAGCGGATAGTCATTCTATAGTAGATTTAAATGTGGTTGCTTCTATGTCGTCACTTGAGATTGGCTTCCCCGGGTAGGTGCTTGCGAGATCATGGCGTACATCTACCACCTGCTCTTGAAACCGCTAGCTGTCCACTCCTACTGGAGTCATGGGAGGCTCACCTTGAGGGGTCGGCTCTGTTGTCTATGGGTCGCCTACTCCCACGAGAACCACAAAGGGCTCGACCTATGAGGCCAGTACCACATTCAACTCGCTTCCAACTCACATGGGAGCCATGAAGAGCTCGATCAGTAGTGAGGCTTCGCTGTTCAGGCTGGAGGTTGTTTGGGCCAGATCGCTAAGGCTCGCTTGGGTTGGTTGTTCATTTCTGTTATGCTTGTGAGATTCATTGATATGTACATTATTCTCGACATCGGATGATAGGGTGACACCATGGTTGCATTGTATCAGCCCTCGGAGGCGCTAGTCGTCTACTCCTATGAGAAGCCACATGGAGCTCGACCTGCGGGGGCAACTCTACTAACTGTAGGTCACCAACTTGCACGGGAGCCTTGAAAGGCACAACCCGTAAGGGTGTTCGCATAGTCCGTAGGCCGCTAACTCCTGCGGGAGTCGTGAAAGGTTCAACCTGTAGGGGAGACCTCGCATAGAAGGCTGAGGAGGTTCGTCCAAGCTAAAACGAGGTCGGCAGAGCTGCTTAGTTTGTTGGCCATCAAATCCCACGAGAACCATGAATGGCTCGACCTGTGAGGGCAGCCTAACTCCGAAGTGCCTATCGCCGGACTACTGGTTGTCAAGGTCATTCTGCTGTTGATTATTCTACGGCAGCATGAGTGCCCTGAACTATTCCCGTGCCTACATTTGGAAATTCGTGCTTCAGCTCATAAAATTGTTGCGCTTCAATCCTGGTGGGAATTGCTGATGGCTCTACCTTGGGGAGAGGGACATTCACATGAGGTAGCGATGTGTTTGTCTAGGGTAATGGGAGTAATGGGTTCGGCACGGTTGCTACTCCCGGAAATGCTAGGGACACTAAACTTGCCTAATTATCAAAGAGGGGTTCTCAGGGTTCATCACGGATGCTCTTGCCCCCAGTAACTGATACTTCATTATCGATATTGGTGCTACTCAAAAATGCCATTGAGTTGATAAAGGCGAAAATCAGAAGGTGAGAACTTAGCAAACTAGGAGAGAACTTATCTTTTTGTTGCATTTCCCACAGACAACGCCAATTGAAGGAGCGTGATCTGGGTTCTCCTAGCTGGATGGAAGCTCGGATATCGGTGCTCAGCTGGCTAGGACATCGGTGCTCAGCTGGCTCGGACATCGGTGCAAGGGAAAGGATCAGAGAACCCAGGGTGACTAACCCGACGAGGTCGCTCTGATGCTTAAGTTAGTACTTAGTGATGAATTGCAAGCAAGAAATCAGTAATCTTGAGAGCTAGAATGCACTTAATCGTGCGTACCTTGTGTCAGTGAGGTAGATGCCCTTATATAGGCATTGTTTGGCGTGGTCTTCATGCATCGTGTTCGAGGTCTTTGGGAAGACGTGCCTAACCGGTCCGATGTCCTCGGAGGTAGCCATGCACGTAGACCAGTTTTCATGCCTTGTTCGGTTTCCTCTGGAACATTCGGTACAGGAGCCTATTTCTGAGAAACCCGGGAGTGTCGTAATATGCATGTTGATGGTTGGTGAGCACATCTCGCAGGTTGCCACCTGGACCTCAATCAAGTCGGCAAGCCCTCAAGGGAGGTTGCTCCTCCTCGAGGTCACTTTGACTGTATTGACAAGGTGCCACAGGTCGGCCCTGGACGAGGTGCTACAAGCCGCTCAGATTTGTGGAGGAGGCCTCCAGGTCAGTGACAAAGGTAGGTTGCCTGGTTGGGGCGAAGGCGAACCACGATCTGAGACTCCAAGTCATCGCTTAAGTGGTGCCTGTGTGTCATCCAGCTGTTCCATGATGCCATGTTTCATGTTGTCATTGGAGGGCCAAATCCACCCTCATCATACACGATGCAAATATTTACAAAACAATACAAAATGCAAGGTTTCGTACTTAACGTATTTGTATTTGTACTCCTTCCAAACTGAGCCTTAGCAACAATACGGCCGCGCAATTGTCCATTTGGCTAAGTTTGGATAGGATACAAATGCAAAT